GCCTCTACTTCTAGTGGGATCCTTAGGTTATAAAAAGATTATTGTCAGTTTTGATGATGATTGAGTGACATTGCTTCTTTTGCCCAAACCAACTACACCGAGTTTAAAGAAAGAGAGGGAGAATGAGTCATTGATCCACAACATATAGAGGATGATTTATTCAATCACATAGTTTGGACTCCTAGAATATAGCACCCTTGAGGCTTTCTATCTGATTGGATTGAAAGACCCAATTAATTGGGATTTCTCTATTGGTCCAAGTCATTTCAGGAAAGCAGATCACTTATGATGAAAAGGAAAAGCTTCAAGTTGCAACAATATTGGCGTAATCATGCTTTTTCTTGGTCTTAAGACATAACAAGAGAGTTGTTCATACTAGAAAATTGATGGAGAGGTCAATGTAGTTGCGCAAGCACTTCAATATAATGTACATCCATGAAGATTGTGCCTTATGCACATAATTGAGTTCATAAGCAGGAAAATATTTCCATTATAAACTATTCTACTTTTGCAGAGCAGGATAGTTGGCAACGATCTAAAAGGTGAATTTTCTCTATATTCATATAATGAAAGTTACAGGCTTTAAGCATTTACAGAATCTTGATATTATAGAAAGTAAAACATTTAAGAATGGCCCCAACAAATATCTGTGAAAACCTCTTAGAATGGCTTTCATGTGGCATAATCTCCACCGCAAGCTTGGGATGGTCTGGTTATGACACTTTAATTTGTATCCAATGATTCGACCTCATTTTATGAAAGAAATGGCATGCTTTGAAATAGCTATCTCCACACATTGTTGTGTGTCTCCAAATCATGCTACTATTCCAAATGGGATCGTTTAGAGTTAGAGCGAGGGATTGCCAAAATCTAGTCAATGCCTTCAGATGAATAATGTGCTCCAGCAAAGGTATCGGGATTGTATATACCTCTCCCGTCCCACAAACCGGGGTCGCACAACCCGAAATGAGTGGGTTCGCTATTCTGGACTCCAAATTTTAACTCAACCCCCAAAATAAATACTAGTTAAATATATGTATATCAATGTATAATTATATATAATATCATATAATAAATAAAGAGATCCTATAAAAAACGAACCACAAGTCAAATTAGCGCACCAACTAAGCCTACCCCTATTGCACCGTTCTATGAAGCACCAACACTTTAAAATGGCTAGAGTATCCGTGTCTGACATGTGTGGGACACGGACACATTCGGACACGTGTCGGATACACAGAAAAAAATGTCCAATTTTATTTCTATTTTTTTAATTTCGGACACATCAGGACACATTTTGAAATAAATTTATGTGGTTTGAAATCCATTGAAAATACTCACAATTATTTGTCGTTAGTAGATAAAGCAGAATAAAGAACTCCATCACATCAAGGAGACAAAGATGCTGAACAATGGCCATGACCCACGGGTTCGTTGTCGGCAACATAAACCCATAGCTGGAAAGAACTGCATCGCAAGGAAGACGAAGATGATAAATAGAGGCTATTACACATCTATTTAAGAGCTGCCCAAGAGATTACTTTTTTGGTAGGAAAAAACGAAGTGCAGCAACTAAATCGCAGATTTTTGCTGAACAATGGCCATGACCCACGGGTTCGTTGTCGGCAACATAAACCCATAGCTGGAAAGAACTGCATCGCAAGGAAGACGAAGATGATAAATAGAGGCTATTACACATCTATTTAAGAGCTGCCCAAGAGATTACTTTTTTGGTAGGAAAAAACGAAGTGCAGCAACTAAATCGCAGATTTTTGCTGAACAATGGCCATGACCCACGGGTTCGTTGTCGGCAACATAAACCCATAGCTGGAAAGAACTGCATCGCAAGGAAGACGAAGATGATAAATAGAGGCTATTACACATCTATTTAAGAGCTGCCCAAGAGATTACTTTTTTGGTAGGAAAAAACGAAGTGCAGCAACTAAATCGCAGATTTTTGCTGAACAATGGCCATGACCCACGGGTTCGTTGTCGGCAACATAAACCCATAGCTGGAAAGAACTGCATCGCAAGGAAGACGAAGATGATAAATAGAGGCTATTACACATCTATTTAAGAGCTGCCCAAGAGATTACTTTTTTGGTAGGAAAAAACGAAGTGCAGCAACTAAATCGCAGATTTTTGGAAGGAGAGATGAGAAGAGAGAAGCGAGACGTCGTAGAGAAATGAGAGAGAGAGAGCTTTTTGCATGAGATCTGCTTTTGACATGTGAGATCTCCAACTTACCTAAAATGGGCGGGGCCTCCCTAAGAGGCTTCAGACTTTTTTTGAAATCTTAAATTAATGGGCCCAATTTACATTGTATTGAATTGAGGTTAAATTTGGGCTGTTGGGCTGGTATTTCACATATTTTAGTTGTATATATTTAGTTCAAACTTTTAACTTGTGCTATCTAAAATGTGAAATGGGCCAAATGTTTAAAATTCTGGTCATACAAAAATATATAAAATTATATTTTATTCAACATATCTTTAACGTATCCGTGTCCTACTTTTTAAGAAAATAGCGTGTCCATGTCGTGTCGTGTCCGTGTCCGTGTCGTATCGTAACCGTATCCGTATCCGTATCTGCGTCCCTGCTTCTTAGGCACCGCATATCGGAAGATATACCGTACCGTGCATTCGTACTACCACGTACCAATTGACCCATAATCTCGATAACATTGCCCGAGCACATATCCCCACCATGCTATTGGTTCTCTATAAATAGGGATTTCCCTTGGCTCCTTACTCTAGATGGCAAACAGATACATAAAAGAAGGGTAGGAGTGAGTTCTTTTCTTTTTTGGTCAGAGGTAGGAGTGAGTTCACATAATGGGATTCTCTCAATCTAACTCCTCCTAGTTCGGAATTCATGCCCTTGGATCACCTTTGCCTATCTCCCTCGTTCTTAAGATCGCGTAGACTCCAAGAACATAAAGAAAATCTCCTTAATTTCACCATACTAGGTGTGTCATATCCATGAAAATTAACCACCCAATAAAGAGAAAAAAAAGCTTAATAAAATTCTTAACAAAAAAAAACTTGATGTTATCATTCTTCACCATCATCCTCCCTTTTCTATCCATGATGGACAGTTTTTTGTCATCTTTATTTATTTTCAAGAAAACTTGCTATTGCTAGTCAAATAGAATAAAACTTGAATAGTTCAGTAGGAGGTTAGAATGGATTATTATGATAAAATGACTAGTGTTCTGTTTAATTGGTTTTATTTTACCTCAGTTCTTCATTCTTTGTGTGTTGGTTATTGATGAATGCATATCTTATAACTTTGAGAGACAGTCTTCAGAGAATACATTGCAGTTTGCTATCTTCCTTATACTTATATTACATACTGATTATATTTCGTTATAGTAGGTGCAGACATAAGGACTAAGAGTTATTTGTCATTTTACTAAAAAGAGCTTAGTTGTCATTTTGACTATTTATTTATTTTTGGATTTATGCTCCCCTTATATATATATAATAAAACAGGAGTGTGTTTGAATTTTATCCCAGCTATATTTTTCCCCTCAAAATCATCATCAATCACTTACCTCACCATCATCTCTTTGTCAAAATCAAACGTCAAATCACATCACTCATTTTTATTACATATTTAATTATTTATATATTTCCTTCTTAAAAATNTCCCTGCTTCTTAGGCACCGCATATCGGAAGATATACCGTACCGTGCATTCGTACTACCACGTACCAATTGACCCATAATCTCGATAACATTGCCCGAGCACATATCCCCACCATGCTATTGGTTCTCTATAAATAGGGATTTCCCTTGGCTCCTTACTCTAGATGGCAAACAGATACATAAAAGAAGGGTAGGAGTGAGTTCTTTTCTTTTTTGGTCAGAGGTAGGAGTGAGTTCACATAATGGGATTCTCTCAATCTAACTCCTCCTAGTTCGGAATTCATGCCCTTGGATCACCTTTGCCTATCTCCCTCGTTCTTAAGATCGCGTAGACTCCAAGAACATAAAGAAAATCTCCTTAATTTCACCATACTAGGTGTGTCATATCCATGAAAATTAACCACCCAATAAAGAGAAAAAAAAGCTTAATAAAATTCTTAACAAAAAAAAACTTGATGTTATCATTCTTCACCATCATCCTCCCTTTTCTATCCATGATGGACAGTTTTTTGTCATCTTTATTTATTTTCAAGAAAACTTGCTATTGCTAGTCAAATAGAATAAAACTTGAATAGTTCAGTAGGAGGTTAGAATGGATTATTATGATAAAATGACTAGTGTTCTGTTTAATTGGTTTTATTTTACCTCAGTTCTTCATTCTTTGTGTGTTGGTTATTGATGAATGCATATCTTATAACTTTGAGAGACAGTCTTCAGAGAATACATTGCAGTTTGCTATCTTCCTTATACTTATATTACATACTGATTATATTTCGTTATAGTAGGTGCAGACATAAGGACTAAGAGTTATTTGTCATTTTACTAAAAAGAGCTTAGTTGTCATTTTGACTATTTATTTATTTTTGGATTTATGCTCCCCTTATATATATATAATAAAACAGGAGTGTGTTTGAATTTTATCCCAGCTATATTTTTCCCCTCAAAATCATCATCAATCACTTACCTCACCATCATCTCTTTGTCAAAATCAAACGTCAAATCACATCACTCATTTTTATTACATATTTAATTATTTATATATTTCCTTCTTAAAAATATCACACCACTTATTTCTATCATATATTTAATCATTTAATATTTAATTAATTTATAATTAATATATTTTGAAAAAATTTAATATAGTGGGATCGATTTTTTGGATGCTCGAATTTTATATTTTATTGTGCCTTCAAGCATGGGTTATAACTAGTATATATATATAAGGGATATGGTATTTGTTTTTGGCAAACTTTGAATATTATTATTATCTTATATTGTTTTTTCTCAAATTTTTTCTCTTTTCTCATCCCTTTCTTCTTTTCTTCTCATTCCTAATTCTTTTCTTCCTAGTCTACATCATGATCTTTCCTACCTATTTGTGATGATTTGAAAAGGGAAAAACATAACTTAACAGATAATCAAAATAAGAAAATACACAGTTTGACTATAGTTCTTGCAATAGAAAGTCATGAAAAACAGCTAGATGAAACTTCTCACTTGATCATTAAAACATTCAGGCACTGTCCCAAATAAAATAATTCTTACACACCTGCCAAGTGCCCATGTTAAGCTGTCCATCTGTAATTGGAATCCTGCACAAGTCAAAGGCATCAGCAATGAAACTTTTCCAAAAATAATATTGTAGAATTTAAATAAAGATAAATTAAGGTATCCAAACGTGAGAGTGCAGCCAAATAGTGATGATTTGATGTGTGCCGGCATGTCATCGGGACCTGCCAAAGTTACATGATTTTAAATCAATAAATGGACAAACTTGCAAACAACAAAAATCAATTCTGCATCAAACTAGAAATAACTCATATCTTTTATAGTTTAATCTCTTGTTGGTCAATCATGTTTTAGACTTTCACGCGTCATTCTTTTCTTCCATTTTCTGGGTGGAACTCTACCGCATAAATTAAGTTACCAATTACAACGAAAGGAATTTGAAACTGAGAGACCCCATGGTTGAGTGGAATGTCGTTTATTTTCCTAATTTCTAGTTGGTCAGTATCATCAACTTATGATGATGAAAATGTCCTCTGGAGAAAACCTTTACCTTGATGGTGCTAAAATCAACTCCCAGAAAAAATACATGAAGCAAGGAAGAAATTGACTGCAACTACAAAACATCCAATGCAGAATTCAAGATTACAGGAGACAATGCAAATCAGACATGAAGCCTAATCAATGTATGTTTTTGTCCGCTTTCTACTGGACCACTGCATTCCAGTCACTCATGTATTGACAACAGTTAATATGCAAGAAATAATGTCATGAAAACAATTTAGATAAGAGTTGTATAGTTGTGAAAACAATCTAGATATTTTCATGTCATATAATGTTGTATTATAGTGAAAACAATTTAGATAAAAGTTTCAAAACGAATTGCGACCAAAATCACTGTACCAACAAAATCAATTCTTATCATACTGCGCACCTAAGAAAGTGTCGTACGCGTACCTGTATCACGTACCAAAACAACCCACGATCTAGGTGGCCCCATGATCAGAGCCATGTATTTGGATTATTGATTTTGGGATAATCCCAGAAATTCAAAACCAACTCTCCCTTCATGATGTGATAAAGCAACCTCAGCCATTCAACTTACAGATAATGCCGCGATTGAATCATGTTTTTGGTATACATTAGCCTCTTTTTTTAGTTTGACAAATGGGAGAAAAAGGAATATGGTGAACCCAATTTGAAAGAGAAAATTGCATGAATCAAGTTTCTCTTAATCTGAATTTGCAGAAAACATTATCATAGCCATATATACTTATTGCACGTATTCATAAAAAGTGCTCCCTACCTCCAATGGCTCATAATTGCCAAAATTCACTAAACCCCTGACAACCAACGATCTGGGTACATAGATCCCAAACATAGTGAGATCGCTATCCAGATCACCAAAATGTACGACCCTAAATTATAATACTAACCCTAAACTGATTCGCTTTAAAACATTTAGAATAAATATAAAATATATATTAATTGACTATGTGCATATAAGATTTATAATTTATATATTGTTTTAGATAATAGAAATCAAGGACAAATACAAGATAAGTGGTAACTGACTTAGTGTTTATAGATGTTCTATGATATATAATGTTGTATAGTAGTGAAAACGATCTACATAAGAGTTCTAAAATGAATCCAAAACACCGTACCAGCTAAGACTAACTCCATTGTACCACGTACCAAAGCGACCCACGATCCAAGTATCATTCCCATAAAATAAATAATTTCCGTTTATCACATGTTTATCTTAACATAACTGATTAACCCAAATGATCTTGAATTATGATTCAATTCATATTATAGTGCACCATAAAATCACTAATCAAACACCATCCACAGCAGAGAATGTACTCCATATACAAATTACACCAATTACAGACATGAAAATTGGAGTATCCCACAGAAACAAGGAAAATTTCTTGATCTGATCAAGGAAAGAAGTTCCACTAACCTTCCAGTGTATGTTTCCATGGTGCAGACATCCCCTGAAATCATGCATTCAGGAAGCAAGTAAGGTCACCTGCCAACAACATAAACCACAATATCATACTAGGTAAAAAAGGCTAACCTCTGGAACTACCCTGTTAAGAAATGTCTCAGTATCATCCCGAACGTCCGAGTCGTAGTTTTCATTAATTGTCAGAGAAGCACTTGTGTGCTGCACTGTAATATATATAGTCCAAAAAGAAAAAAGAAAAATGAAAGGAGTTCACCCCAAATTGAATTCCAAACACAGTTCAGTAACTAAATTGGGTGATAGGCACTTACAAAAGAGATGTGCGAGGCCACATCTAAATCCCGACAAGTCTTGTCCAATTTCCTTCAAAATCTGGTGTAGTACACAAAGGAAAAGTTTCATAAACAGGCAAATGCCGTTAATGCTGCACCATAATCATTTGAATGGTATAATGTTTTTTACATCATTGGATAATATTGACCTACTCTTTGATGAAATGCTACTTAACAAAAATTAATTGCTCTCTGCTGGCATTAGGACCCCTGGCATAAACTGCAACATTTATTTCATATAAAAAGCTGACAAGGCACCAGAAAAGCTCGCTAACATAAATGCTGAGAAACCAACATAAACGCTTGCCCAAAATAAGAATACAATCCCTCGGTAGAATAAAAAACACAGAGGTACATGCAAAAAGAAGATCATCAGAGCATGCACACAGGAGCATGATCTGTGTCATTCATGCCCAACTTTAGCACTCTCTCTCCAACCTGAATTTAAGAAGTCAAATAACAGTGTAGTTTTGCTCATACTTAACATGCCCTTTTTACCTGTAATGTTTCTGAAGCTTCCATTTTAACACTTTAGAGGTCAATTCTTTATGGATAATAATGGCAACCACTGGTCAATAACATTTAAGTTGACACGAAGTCTGATTGTTCATTCGATGCAAGGTGGCATAACATCATCATCCATTTCATAACATTTACAAGAACAGAGCCAGTAGTGTTTATTATGTGATTGTACAAGTGATCTGAAATGGAAACAAAAGGACTTAGTATAGAGGATAAAGAACACATATCAGATAATTTCATATGCAATAGATGACCAGATGCCTTGAACACTATGTCCCTATTTGAAGAGTTTAAAGTTCATATTGCTTCGAAACTAAGAATGGATATTTTCAGTTGAGCGGTAAAATGAGCGTTGATGAGATAACAGCATGCCCTTGACAAGCAGTACAGGGTGAGCATGATAAAGCATAAGGAGAGTTGGCCCCAGCACTGTCGGACAGCAATTAGCAAGTGATATCACCCTATGAAGTCTCCATCAAATTCGAAATTGCATCGCAGCACTGATTAGTGGATGGTTGCAGGAGTGCAAAAACACACACCCTCAAACCAGAAGATGGAAAAAGGCACATAATCTGCTGAAACCAGTTCAAAACAAAAGCTTCGGGTAGTGGATGCAACCACATATTACTGCATCAAACTAATTTGGTAGAAGGACAACTTAACCCCATCTTTGTATTTTTGGCAACAACCTAACCCCATCTTCAAAGTTTAAATTTCCGGAAAACACAAATTTGATGATTTATTCAGTTCTACAGTCCAACCTGGTCTGGTCCCCCATCCATGGGATAAGAAAAGTAAAATAGGAATTAATTATCGATACTACTTGTACACAGTAATACAAAGGGCAGAGGATGTATTCGACCCTAATTTCATATTTCATACTCGTGAATTATTCGCTAAGTTTTAACCAAAAAAAAGGCTTCTCTCTAGACTGTGTAGAAGATAGAATAAAACTTGGATGAGTCATTAATTACTTACTACATGCTATTCCCATCCCATCTACAGAAAAGCTGACTAGTGAAAAGAAAACACTGTTAACTGGAGATGGTCTTTGAAAAGAACTGGCCTCGACATTGAAGGGAAAAAAATAAGTGAGAAGGAAACATATAGATGAGTAGTAATAGTAGTACAGGTTTGAGAAGAGGAGACCTTGGAGGTGATAAGATGACAGCCACGCCTGTGTGGAGGAAGGGTAATTGTCTTCTGAGCCCATTTGGGAGCAGGAGCAGCAGCTGCCATGGAATCGGGGGACGATGGATCGTTGATGGGCTTCCTGGGAGACGGAGTATATAGGGATTTTACTCGTATCGGAGTCGAGGTCGGAGCCGACGGAGGCTTTGCAGTCCCGCCTAATGACGATGATATTGGGAGTGTTTGCATTTGCATTTGTTGGTGGGTTCGTTCCAAGTCCAACGCCTTCAAAGTTCAAATATTCCAGGCTGCTAACAAAAAACAATGCAGCTCCGTATTGGGTTGGGCCCCCATTCTTTGGCGTGGTTTGGGAGTTTTAGCGGCTGCGGTTAGTTAGGCCAACTATGCTTAGATTTCTGGTTCAGAGTGAGCTCATGTCATGCCATGTATGAAATCTCTCCCTTTCTATCTGATTTTAATTAATATTATATAAAAAAATTACTTATTATTCTTCGTCCCTCTCTAGTCCATTTAATCTTATTATGGAAAACTATTCATTGATAAATTCAACATACAATTTTACAAATTTCAAATGAATAGTTATATTTGTAATACTTGATGAGCCTGAATTTGATTGAGCCAAGCCCAATTTAAATAAACTAAGAAAACCAAATCGGAGTTGGGTCAATCCGTCATAAGGGAATTCAAAAAAGCATCAAGAGGCCAGCACCCAAGAGGCCAACGTTCAAAAGGCCAGCGCCCAAGAGGCCAACGCCAAAGAGGCCAACGTCCAAGAGGCCAACGCCAAAGGAGCCAATGCCCAAAGCACTTGGGGAGCCACCCAAGGCCTGGGCGCTGCCCAAGGCTGCCCCCTAGTCCTCTTATGTCTTCTTCACTCCAATGCAAGTCCAGTCCACTCCAGCTCAACGTCCAAGCTCAAGATCAAACCCAATCCAACTCAGGGTCTTCTTCTAATTGAATAGGAACATGAGGGAGAGAATGTTGGGATGGATATCTAAACTTACCATAATTGCTCACTTACCAAAATGGTAGAAAGACCTTTCACTCACGTCACCGTCTCAATGTACATCCACTCAACATTGAGAGCACGCTTCTGAAACCCCTACACACCTTGCTCCCCTCTCTCAAAGTATTGTAACTCCCCCGGATAACATTCTCCTGGCAACTTTGATTCATCAATAAAATACCTCCGGTCATCGCAGTCATTCCCGAGAGTGGAGTAGGTCATCCAGATCGAACTACTATAAATCTCTGTGTTGTTCTTTATTTATTGCTTGTTTATTGCTTATTAACTACACCCGTTCATATTCTTGACTGTTAATTTTGCACAATACCGATTTGTGCATCATCAGTTTACACCCGTTCATATTTTTTACTATTAATTTTGTGCATCATCAATTTGGCGCCGTCTATGAAAAATCGACTATTTTTTTTACCCTTCCAATCCATGGCAATCACTACCCGATCAATGAGCCAACAGCCAGTAGACAATATCCCGACTCACTGGGAGGAGGCTCCGTCTCCCCTCGCACCGTTAGAACCATCTGCTACTGCGACTCCCACCGGGCAACAGCAACAGCTCCTCCAAACTATGCAGCTGCTGGTGAGTTAAAACCAACAAATCATACTACTGATGCTCGCCCAAGAAGGCGTCGCCCCTCACCCTGTGGAAGGAGCCCGACTCCCTCCAACAGGAGGAAAACAACACCCTGCCCTTTCTGGGTGTTAGGAAGCCCCCCACCATAGAGTCCCTTGCCATAACACCCCAGGGCCACGTCAAGGCGCCTCCTCGCCCAGTAGTCTTTCCTTAGCTTATAGGGAGTTCACGAGTTCCCAGGAGGATGAAGACAAAAAAAAGTCAATTCGGAGACCACGAGAGCCAATACCATCACCTGACCAAGGATATCCCCAATCAGTGAGACGAGAAGATCAGAGAGGTACAAAACCAACTCGGGGATGCCCTCAATGCTATCAAGGTTTAGGCGCCTGAAATCGTAGACTACTTGGTAAGACGTACTAATACGTCTTTCGTTGCTGATATAGTCAATTATCCTTTGCCCTCAAAGTTCGAGATGCCTACCATTGAGATCTTCGATGGCATCAAAGACCCCCTTGATCACCTAGACACCAACAAATTCCTCATGCAACTCCACAACGTGTCTGAGGAGATTATGTGTAGAGTCTTTCCTACTGCACTCAAAGGATCTGCATGTCAATGATTTGCAAAAAGCAAGCCCTCTTCAATTCACTCCTTCACGGAGTTGAGCACATCCTTCGTCACCCGCTTCATCGGGGGGCGCCAACATCACAAACCAGTGACCCACCAACTCACCATCAAGTAGGACAGGGGATGAGATCTTTAGGGAGTACCTCACCCACTTCAACAAGGAGGCTCTCTAAATTGAGGAACCAGATGATAAGGTAACCCTGGCCGCCTTTATCGCCAGTCTTCGCACTTCCAGTTTTATGTTCTCCGTCCTCAAGAAGCCGTCATCCACCATGCCTGAGTTGCTATCAAGGGCACAAAAGTACATGAACACCGAGGATGTCACCAAAACTCGTAGAGGTGAGTCTTTCTGAGGAGGAGAGAAAATGAAGGACACCCTCGAAGATAAGTGGGAGGCCGAGAACAAGAAAAAAAAACCAAAATAGTTTCTGTCAAGGACCGTCTCGGTTCGTACCCCCCAAGAGAACGACAGCCTTTCACGCCACTCAATGCCTCGGTGGAGCACATCTTATTCCAGATACAGGATGACCCCATGCTCGGCTTGTAACGCCCAGATTTTTCTCTTTTTTTTGGAGACGTTAATTGATATAAAAACACCCAAATAAAAATAACAAAGCACTAATTGTCCCAATAAAATTTCATTTATCAAAATCATCTCACAATACAAATGAATCTGTTAATATACATAAATCTCTCAATATAATTAAAACATCAATTACATCGACATCTCTTCATCTTTAATATTTTGATTATCTCATTTCGATTTGTTCTCTAAAATTAACCTGAAAATATTAAATAAAGCAGGGAAGTATACAATATGACGAGAAAAAAAATATGCTCAATTACAATAATCGAGTATTACAAAGTATCTCAATCAACAGATACCAATATCATATTTCAATATCACACATCATATAGAATCTTAACATAGATCTGACACCTCACCAATCATCCCACCTCAACCCGATTCCACAGGTCTCCCGACTGGCGATGCATCGGCTATTGGCTGTCACGATCCCATCTCAATATCCGCATAACACAATCAATGAGACAAAAATATTCAACGATATTCAATCAAAATTTCAAAATAACGATAGCACAAGTTGGAATACAAATTATAGGATGATCAAGAAATACTTTTTGCAAAGAGATTTAAGAAGAGTATATTGCATACCACCCTGTACCTAAAAATCATTGTTTGAATTTTAATAACTCAGCTTTCTTCCTCTTTTTCCCCCAACTTCTCTTGCCTTCTCTATAGGAGGTCACCATTGTGTTTTCCTCCTAATTCCATAACCAAGTCCCCTATTTATAGGTCTTTAGGACGCATAGGAATATTCTAGATATGGAATATCCTAGGAATATTCTAAAATGTGGAATATCCTAGGAATATTTTAAAATCTTTAAGATTCTTCTAGATTGTTCTAAAATTAGCCTCAAAGTGCGGTTCACATCGCACCGCATATTTTCTACTTTCGGGTCCGTTTTTCATTCCGAAACGATTCATTTCATCCCGATTTAAGTCCAAATTAATTTTATTTGAAATTTTATTTAATTCTAAGAAAATTTTATAAAATTCATTTTTAGGGACCTTTAACAGGTCATTCGCTATTCAGTCGTCTCGAACCACGTATAAAAATTTGACTATTTCAGAATTCGATAAAATTCAACCGAGTGACTAGTTTCCGCGATACGAATCCAATAGAGAAGTTCGTTGTGTTATACGAGCTCTAGAGAATGCATATTTTAATTTCATATTATAGTAATAAATTACCATTTTGTCATTTGTTGGAAAAAGTTTATAAAAAGTTTGCAAATTTTACACCGCTGGCCTGAAAAAATGAAGTATACCCCAAACCGCAGAAATCACAACATGTACTGTTACTTCCACCGCGACCATGGCCACGACACTGATGACTACTATGAACTCAAGAGGCAGATCGAAGAACTCATATAACATGACCAGTTGAAGCAGTACGTTGCTTGCAGAGGGCAAGCCCTGCCACCTAACCGGGACCAGGATGATAGAGAACACCAGCAACCCCTCGAGAGAAATTCAGACAATCTCCTGAGGGCTAGGAGAATGTGACTCCAACTCCGCTAGTAAAACATTGGCCACCCATGGGACACCGAACACTTCAAGATTTTATATATCTTTTATTATTTCAATTGATTTATTTTGTTATTCATTATTTTATGAAATAAAATTTTACAAAGATTATTGAATCCATAACTGTCTTGTTTTCATTTCGAACAGTTTATGATCTAACAACAACAAGGTAGACAAAAAGATAATAGTCGTTATACTCCCGACGATCAGTCACTGTTCCCCGAGCAACTATCATCAAGGCTCTCCCCATCGCCAACTACTATTGGTGCTTTATAGGGGACGAAGCTAGAGAAATTAATAGTGACCCTCTCACTAGCAGACGCCCAGCAGCAGATGCCCATCGCCCATCACTAGGCACCCAGCTCCCCGTCTTCTTAATCTTTATGGAGTGAGCCTCTGCCTTAGTAGCTATCTCAAATGTTACTCGAGAGTCAGCCTCAAGTTGAGCAGCCCTCTCGTGCACTAGACTCAACTACTCTGTGGCATCCCCTCGTGCATGCCGCACGAGCCCTACTTGTTTTGTGGCATCTTCTTGTGCATGTCGCCCGAGCCCTACTTACTATGCAGCATCCCTTCGTGCCTCCTGCTCGAGCTTCAACTGCTCTTCAGTAACCCCCGTGTCTATCTCTATGATATCCCCTGAGGCCACATACCTCCAAAGCCACTCCTTAACTGAAGTCAAGTCAAAGCATGCACACCGAGCCATGTGGAGTTACAATCCCAGTGGGAGACTGAAAAGGAGTCTCAACTCCTACAAAAGTACAATAGCTAGCTCGGGTACACACATGAGTTCTAGCCTTGGAAGGAGCAAGGGCACCACGAGATCTCGATTTTGGGAAACAACTTGGCCATCGGACCTTGACTAAGAAGCCCTGGGGGCATCAACCCTCGCCCCTTTTGGGAGAAGGAGAAGACACCACCCTAAAAACTCAAGATAGTCTTCATCATCGCTCTGTCAATAGGGCATCTATAATTATAGATAAGGTCAGTTAGTGACCAAACACCAGAGAGGCGCTGTCATACCAAGACTCAAAGGCGTCCCCCAAGTACAGCAGTGCCCAAGACCTTCTAGCATCGCCCAAGGCATCTGACCAACCTCTCAGCGTCACCTATGGCACCCTGTCAACATCTTGGCGTCGCCCAAGGAACCTGTCCAACCTCGGGCGTCTCCCAATACGCCTATCCACATACCTGGCGCCCCGCTGTCTGGCGCCCATTTGCCTAGCGCCNTTGACTATTTCAGAATTCGATAAAATTCAACCGAGTGACTAGTTTCCGCGATACGAATCCAATAGAGAAGTTCGTTGTGTTATACGAGCTCTAGAGAATGCATATTTTAATTTCATATTATAGTAATAAATTACCATTTTGTCATTTGTTGGAAAAAGTTTATAAAAAGTTTGCAAATTTTACACCGCTGGCCTGAAAAAATGAAGTATACCCCAAACCGCAGAAATCACAACATGTACTGTTACTTCCACCGCGACCATGGCCACGACACTGATGACTACTATGAACTCAAGAGGCAGATCGAAGAACTCATATAACATGACCAGTTGAAGCAGTACGTTGCTTGCAGAGGGCAAGCCCTGCCACCTAACCGGGACCAGGATGATAGAGAACACCAGCAACCCCTCGAGAGAAATTCAGACAATCTCCTGAGGGCTAGGAGAATGTGACTCCAACTCCGCTAGTAAAACATTGGCCACCCATGGGACACCGAACACTTCAAGATTTTATATATCTTTTATTATTTCAATTGATTTATTTTGTTATTCATTATTTTATGAAATAAAATTTTACAAAGATTATTGAATCCATAACTGTCTTGTTTTCATTTCGAACAGTTTATGATCTAACAACAACAAGGTAGACAAAAAGATAATAGTCGTTATACTCCCGACGATCAGTCACTGTTCCCCGAGCAACTATCATCAAGGCTCTCCCCATCGCCAACTACTATTGGTGCTTTATAGGGGACGAAGCTAGAGAAATTAATAGTGACCCTCTCACTAGCAGACGCCCAGCAGCAGATGCCCATCGCCCATCACTAGGCACCCAGCTCCCCGTCTTCTTAATCTTTATGGAGTGAGCCTCTGCCTTAGTAGCTATCTCAAATGTTACTCGAGAGTCAGCCTCAAGTTGAGCAGCCCTCTCGTGCACTAGACTCAACTACTCTGTGGCATCCCCTCGTGCATGCCGCACGAGCCCTACTTGTTTTGTGGCATCTTCTTGTGCATGTCGCCCGAGCCCTACTTACTATGCAGCATCCCTTCGTGCCTCCTGCTCGAGCTTCAACTGCTCTTCAGTAACCCCCGTGTCTATCTCTATGATATCCCCTGAGGCCACATACCTCCAAAGCCACTCCTTAACTGAAGTCAAGTCAAAGCATGCACACCGAGCCATGTGGAGTTACAATCCCAGTGGGAGACTGAAAAGGAGTCTCAACTCCTACAAAAGTACAATAGCTAGCTCGGGTACACACATGAGTTCTAGCCTTGGAAGGAGCAAGGGCACCACGAGATCTCGATTTTGGGAAACAACTTGGCCATCGGACCTTGACTAAGAAGCCCTGGGGGCATCAACCCTCGCCCCTTTTGGGAGAAGGAGAAGACACCACCCTAAAAACTCAAGATAGTCTTCATCATCGCTCTGTCAATAGGGCATCTATAATTATAGATAAGGTCAGTTAGTGACCAAACACCAGAGAGGCGCTGTCATACCAAGACTCAAAGGCGTCCCCCAAGTACAGCAGTGCCCAAGACCTTCTAGCATCGCCCAAGGCATCTGACCAACCTCTCAGCGTCACCTATGGCACCCTGTCAACATCTTGGCGTCGCCCAAGGAACCTGTCCAACCTCGGGCGTCTCCCAATACGCCTATCCACATACCTGGCGCCCCGCTGTCTGGCGCCCATTTGCCTAGCGCCCACTTACTTGGAGCCCGTATGCCTGGCGCCTACCTACTTGGTGCCCTCGCCCAGGACAGCGGGCTCTCACCCAGTCTTCCATCTCGCCTAAAGGCATCGCCCAAAAATAAAAAATATAAAAAAAAATCGATATCGAAGCGTTCAGCAAGTCCCTGAAGATGAAAAGATACCGTGGAAAACAAAAAAAATTCCAACTCACTCAGATGAAGACGAAGCACATGCCCACAACCCCCTTCCTCTCACAAAAAATCAGAGGCTTAGGGCATGAGGGGTAGATGATGAGTCCAAAATTCGATTGGGCCAAGCTCAATTTAAATAAACCAAGAAAGCCCAATCGGAGTTGGGTCGACCCGTCATGAGGGAATCCAAAAAAAATCAAGAGGCCAGCACCGAAGAGGCCAACGCCAAAGGAGCTAGCGCCCAAGAGGCCAACGTTCAAGAGGCCAGCATCCAAGAGGCCAATATCCAAGAGACCAGTGCCCAAAAGGCCAATGTCCAAGAGACCAACGCCCAAGAGGTCAATGCCAAATGAGCCAACACCCAAAACATTTGGGGCGGCGCCCAAGGCTGCCCCCTGGTCCTTTTATGTCTTCTTCACTCCAATGCAAGTCCAGTCCACTGCAGCTCAACGTCTAGGCTCAAGATCAAACCCAATCCAACTTAAGGTCTTCTTTTGATTAAATAGGAGCACAAGGGAGAGAATGTCGAGATGAAGATTTAAACTTACCATTATTGCTCACTTACCAAAATGGTGGAAAGACTTCTCACTCATGTCATCGTCTCACCGCCTTATCCTAATTATATAATGTACGCTCACTCAACATTGAGGGCATGCTTCTGAAACCCTTACACACCTTGCTCCCCTCTCCCAAAGTATTGTAACTCCCCTGGAGAACACTATCTTGGCAACTTTGGTTCATCAATAAAATACCTTTGGCCACCACAGCCGTTCCCCGAGAATGGAGTAGGTCATCCGGACCGAACAACTATAAATCTCTGTGTTGTTTCTTTATTTATTGTTTTGTCATTAATTACTTGTTTATTGCTCATTGATTACACCCGTTCATATTCTTAACTGTTGATTTTGTATAACACCAATTTGTGCATCATCAGTTTACACCCGTTCATATTTTTGACTGTTAATTTTGTATAATACTAATTTATGCAACATCAATACTAATACGAGTTATAGCATAATAATTTGGTCAAATTTGATTAGTTATTCAAATCATGTCTTTTCATTAGAGAGAGTTTTTTGTATACTCACTTTTAAATAATGTATCTCACTCAAATATATAATTAATAAATGATAATATAATAAAAAATATACCAATCCAAATAAGAAAATATCTTAAAATGAATGAAGCTTTTGCATTTGCAATTTACATTTACAATGACTGTTGTTTTGGGTGGGCCAAGTCCAACCAATCAAGATTTGGTCTCTTTTTGTTCAAGTCCTTCCGGACAAGACTACACCTCCCATTTTTTAGGTGCGGAATGGATATATTGAATTTCGGCACCCTATCATGTGATAATTTTTACCATATTTAGGTATTTATTCAAAAAATTAATAAAAATAATTACCACTTACCACAATAATGATAAAAATATTTTTAAATGTGATAAAAATATCTACAAATATGATAAATCACGTATAAAATAATAAAAAAAAATAAAAATAATTACCACAAATATAATAAAAATACTTATAATAGTGGTAAGAATATTATTACTCCTACATCTCGTGACGTTTGTGCACATGTAACACGTAATCCTTTTTAGTTGATATTTTGTTACTGTTCAAAAATATGATTTTATTCTAATAAAAAATTATAATTTCATATTACCCATTATTTTGTGGGTCTGATATACTCTAAAGTTCAAAATTAAACTTACCATTTGAATGTCCAATAGAATGTAGATATTTTTATAATATTTTTTATATTCAATGCACAATATCACTTAAATATAATTATTTAAATGCCCAAATTGGGGGATAGTTTAGATTGAAAGTATTTTATTAGGATTTTATAACCGTTAAAAAATATAATTTTATTTTAATAAAAAATTATAATTTTATATTATCCTTTATTTTGCGAAAGAGTCCAAATAATTAAATGACAAGTACGAGGGAATTTAAATATAATTTATCAATTTAGTTTCAGGCAATAAATTGATGGCAGTTAGTTTTAGGTGCACATTAATACAAATTTCTATTTTTGAAGGTATAAATTAATATTTTTGATCTTTGGAGATGCACATTGATACAAATTTCTATTTTTAAGGTATAAATTGAGATTTTTGATATTTGGGGTGCTTGATACAAATTTTTATCTTTAAAGGTATAAATTGAGATTCGAACAATCTTTTAGGATATAATTTATAATTAATCCTATATAATATAACTGACGAAAAGAGGTGATTGATTTGCTCGCGCTTCGAATCTTCGATGTCAATGGGCATAACGACAATGGTCAATGGGCATGACGGCGCCTGCTGCTGCATCATATGCTTCAAAAGAAGAACCTCCTCTTGTATCACGAATTGCCTTTGGATCCTGCTCCAACCAAAGTGCTCCCCAGGTTTGTCCTCGTCCTCTCTCTCTCTCTCTCTCCCTTTCATTCGTCAACATGTACTAGTTAAACACTTACTCCTAGGTTTATTTTCCCCATCTTCTTTTTGTTTTTTTTTTTTTTTTTTTTAATTTTATAAATTTTCATTTATATTGTATATATGAGTGGTGAATCATGATTAAGTCGCCTTCTCTCAGCTCGGCCAAGACCTTTCCCCTGAGATTGATGGGATCATGAATATACCATTGGTTGTTTTCATTTTTGTGTTTTTGTGGCTGGCAGCCTATTTGGGATGCAATAATCGACTATAATCCCCAAGTTTTTATTTGGCTTGGTGACAACATTTATGGAGATGTTAGGCGTCCTTTCAAGTTATTTGGAAAGCAAAGGACAATCGGGCCTTGGAAGAATGTTCCCAGGTTTGTCCCTTCCCCTGAGCATGAAATGCTGTCAAGATACCACATGGCCAAGACCAATCCTGCTTATTCCCTTCTTCGACACAACACCAAGGTGCTAAATTACTGCTCATAACTTATATATTTTCTTACTATTTATTTCATATACACACCCACAAAACCACATCTATAACACCATAATAATTAAACAGTTTATAATCATTTATTTTGTAAATGATAGAATTTTGAATACTCTAGCTAGTGGCCGCCTATTTATATCCATCTCATTCATTTTCTTCACTTGTTTCCACCACTTCCACTACTGTCTAACCTCGTCTATGTTGTAGATCATCGGCACATGGGATGACCATGATTATGGATTAAACGATGCAGGCAAAGAATTTAACGGGAAAATCATTAATCAAAGGCTTCTACTGGATTTCTTGGATGAACCCCAGGATAGTCCACGGTGAGCACTCATTCACAGTGCCGATTTATTTATATTTTATTATTGTTTATATCCTTCAATTAATTGGTTAAGATTTTCCAAGTTATATCAAATGTAAAGAGCACTTATAGTCTTCCGTTCTAGCACCCAAGCATTGCCTCAAAAAAAAAAAAGTGGAGTATTTGATGGTGGTCTGAGCATCAGGATGGACAAGTGCTATTCCATATTTGGTTTAACATGCTCAATTTGCTCCTTTTTTATGAGGAGTGCTGCTGCTGAAGTTGAACCACTCACTATGGCTCTATTGTTGTAGGCGCAGTCAAGCTGGTGTCTACACATCATATACATTTGGTCCTGTGGGTAGGCAAATCAAGGTATAAAAATTATTAATTTACAAATTTTGCTCCAATTCTTTTTACGGAATTTAAGCTGTTCTCCAGGAGACACATTTTTTTTTTTTCTGGTAGGTTAATACTCAGTATGCTGTTTTGGGTCAAACTCTTACTTGTGATCTGTGTTGACGTCAGTATGGTAAACCATTTTCTTTCCATACAAGTGGAGACCTACTTAAATCCCCGGTTCTAAGTTTGGGTGCTAAACTTTTTCAGGTTTTGCTTTTAGACACTAGATACCACAGAGACCCTTTGTCTAGCGATGGAAGTATTTTGGGGAGTTCACAATGGATATGGTTACAGAAAGAGTTGAATGGTCCTGCATCGGCCATTACTATTATTGGCTCTTCTATTCAGGTATTAAAGAATGTTTTTTCTTACCTTAGAGATTGATCCGAACCCTAGGGCACTTGGCTAGTAATTTCATGAGCCTGAAGGTGCAAGATGCACACATTTCAAGTTTCAGAACATAATTTGGGCATGTGGTATGGAAAATCATTGGGTTGGTTTCTGCTGGTGTTATCCTAATGAATACTTCTTTTTGAAGGTTGTGCAACACTTGTGTGAAATGAGAGGACAAGCCCTAAACATGTCTCTATAAGCCACCTATATACTCCGGAATAATGGATATTTTCTGTGATGAAAAGCAGCTTGTTTAGGCACTGCCTTCTTATTATAATGTTAGATTAATGTGACATTCTGAGGGAGCTCATTTCATGAGTTCATTTTGGTCCCCCTTATTGGTTATTTAGGGCCTGTATCTGAGGCGAGTAAGCACAAGAATTTAGTCTTTGAGTCAGTTGTTTTCATTTTTCCAGTACGCATAACTTAAGACTTTGCAATTCGTTCGCGGCAGAGCAGATGAATAGTTTTTTATCTCGTTGATTTTTTTCCCATTCTTTATTGTCCTGCAGTTTTTGCTTTTTCTTGTGAGTTAGGAGTTTTGTTATGTGGTATTTGAATTTTTATCTTGTTATTAGTATATTATGGTTTATAATCAATCCCCTGTATTGAACGTACCTCAATCCCCTCCCAAAAAAACAAAAGAGACTAAAAAGAAGAAGAAGTAGGAGGAAGCTGATAGAGTCTGTCGGTGGCGTTTAACTGCATATTATATATATCTTGAACAAGTAGTGTAACCACATAAACCTGGTTTAGGCTCACATCAAGGGGGTTGTGTATTTTGTACTGATTGTTGTAACCCAGGCTGCCACCAGTGCTTTCAGAACTACTCTTGGAGCTACTCTAGAATCAGCCATTGGGCCAAGGCCACCTCCTTCTAGCCTTATGCATGCACATGGTTGATTGCTCCATTACAAAATGAAATGGAGTTCTGGTTGGACTAAAACACTGGCAACATTATCATTGTTTAAGCACTTTGTGGAGCCTTGAACAGGCGAAAGCCAGAATATTTGATTTAGTGAAGGATATTATGGAATACTTCAGAATCTGATGATACCAGGAACATTGATTTGTTTTATATATGTCTTGCAATTTGAAACTAACTAATTTTCCATGATGATATATCGAGTTTTGTTTTCTGGATTTTAGTTTCATGTTCCTTGCTATAATAACCATTTAGGTGTAACACAATGAAAGCACTATTTACATCCAAGTTGGTTGCTTTCAAGTTCTACCAGACTTCATTGGCTGAATTTATTTTGATGTTAATACCTAGGATGGATTGGCCTATTTAATTCAAGTATTACGGGGGCTCACTTCGCTAGCCACAAATGTGACAATTGAGAGAACTTAGAGTGAAGTCAACCTAAGCTAAGCAAGAACAAGTGCAGGAGAAGCCATTGAAGCGGACTTCAAGATAGACACTTATGAATTAAGATAAGGAAAGATAAGAGCTTTATTCTCTTTCAAATTCACAAGAATGAACTTGTTGCAGGTGTATGTTTCATGTTGATATTGGCTATAAATCCTTGAATGTGGTCTTAGATGGAAGGTCTGATCATGAATCGTGCATGTAGATATATAAATTGAACTTTCATTTGAATAGTTGTTGACAACTGATTACATGTACCTCATGAGTTGGTTGGTTCAATATCTGCTGAAGTGATTGTTTGTGTTGGTGAATTAATGGGTCAGTGGTAAAATTGCTTGGTATAAGAGCTTAGGTATGGTTAGAGACTTAAATGGGTACAAATGTTTAGGCCATATGTGCTAGTTCTATAACTTGATCTCCTTTAACTAAGTGTGAAGTTGTTTACCTTGCCTGCATGGACCTGGTAGATTATGTCTGGGGAGGAAAGTGTTGAGTTGCTTCAGACTTTGCAGGACGTAGCTAGTGCTATGTAGCAAAATGCCGATGTCGATAGTTATGTCTCTCAGCCACAAACAGGGAGTAATGAGACAGGCTATTATAGTAGTGAGAGAGGTAAGCGACCAAAACTGACTACTTTAGAGGTGAGCCTGATCATGTGGTAGCAGTTCAGAAATCTTTCAATGCCTTGAAAATTGAATTAAATGAGAGATGACTATAATGCCGTATGAGGCAAAGTTTTCCTAGTTGTGCACATCATCACGCAGTTAGTGTCAGATAAAGAATTGAAAGTAATGAGATTTGTACATGAACTGCTCTGTGGTGGTCTTAGCTGAATGGAAGACATGCTACATGGATCTAGTTTTACTTCCATAAGCACTCTAGTTTCCAGCTTCATATATTGTCAGCACACAAGCATATATTCTGCGTTACATTGTTGTATTTGGGTTATTATGCACTTCACTTTCTACATTCAGGTTATATCAAATCATTCCGCCGTTACTGGCCCTTTGTTTTATATGGAGTCTTGGGGACGCTTCCCAAAGGAAAGGAATCGTTTTTTCAAGTTAATATCTGATAGTAAGGTGATAATCTTCTGCTTATTCTCCAACTTATGTGGGTCGGAGTAGGTTTACTTATAACTGCATTCAAAAACTTTTGTTCTTCAGTTACATTCTGCTCCATAGTGGAACATATCTGCTATTGGTTATTGGCAACTTGTAAATTGATTTATTTTATGTAGTGCCCAATTTTGCGTTTATCTTTTTTTTGCAGAGGGATGGGGTTTTCTTCATAAGCGGAGATGTTCATTTTGGAGAAATAACCCGATACGACTGTGCTACTCGATATCCCCTGTATGATATAACCTCAAGTGGGCTCACTCAAGCTGTTGAAAAGGCAGTCCCACCACCCTTACGTTTCATCGTGAGATTTGTGGCATGGTTGATGCCAACTACAATGAGAGTAATGAACAAAAGTTGTAGGTACAAGTCATGCATTTATGGTATGCTCTTATTTATTTTTTCTTGGGCAAATTTTGTTTTACCCCTTTATGACTTGCTATAAGCCCGTAATCTTGCTATGCTTTCTGGACCAATGCACATATTGACTCGTTAATGGTGCCAACTGATGACTTTAAATAACAATACACTATATAAAGGTATATACATGTATTTATTCAACCACCCTAAGAGTCATTAACACCTTATTTGATTTTAATGATAAATCAGTCTCCCACCATATGTTTTGAATATGTGCAGGTGCAGCATTAATACAACCCAATCAAATCATCAAAACCATTACTACTGATTTCCATCAATGTCAATTAACACCCATCCACACTCTTAACCAGAAAGGAGAAATAGGGAAAATCACCAAAATAGTATTTTCTCTGTCCAAACCGCCATGTGTTTTAGGTTTGGAGTAATTGAGNATGGACCTGGTAGATTATGTCTGGGGAGGAAAGTGTTGAGTTGCTTCAGACTTTGCAGGACGTAGCTAGTGCTATGTAGCAAAATGCCGATGTCGATAGTTATGTCTCTCAGCCACAAACAGGGAGTAATGAGACAGGCTATTATAGTAGTGAGAGAGGTAAGCGACCAAAACTGACTACTTTAGAGGTGAGCCTGATCATGTGGTAGCAGTTCAGAAATCTTTCAATGCCTTGAAAATTGAATTAAATGAGAGATGACTATAATGCCGTATGAGGCAAAGTTTTCCTAGTTGTGCACATCATCACGCAGTTAGTGTCAGATAAAGAATTGAAAGTAATGAGATTTGTACATGAACTGCTCTGTGGTGGTCTTAGCTGAATGGAAGACATGCTACATGGATCTAGTTTTACTTCCATAAGCACTCTAGTTTCCAGCTTCATATATTGTCAGCACACAAGCATATATTCTGCGTTACATTGTTGTATTTGGGTTATTATGCACTTCACTTTCTACATTCAGGTTATATCAAATCATTCCGCCGTTACTGGCCCTTTGTTTTATATGGAGTCTTGGGGACGCTTCCCAAAGGAAAGGAATCGTTTTTTCAAGTTAATATCTGATAGTAAGGTGATAATCTTCTGCTTATTCTCCAACTTATGTGGGTCGGAGTAGGTTTACTTATAACTGCATTCAAAAACTTTTGTTCTTCAGTTACATTCTGCTCCATAGTGGAACATATCTGCTATTGGTTATTGGCAACTTGTAAATTGATTTATTTTATGTAGTGCCCAATTTTGCGTTTATCTTTTTTTTGCAGAGGGATGGGGTTTTCTTCATAAGCGGAGATGTTCATTTTGGAGAAATAACCCGATACGACTGTGCTACTCGATATCCCCTGTATGATATAACCTCAAGTGGGCTCACTCAAGCTGTTGAAAAGGCAGTCCCACCACCCTTACGTTTCATCGTGAGATTTGTGGCATGGTTGATGCCAACTACAATGAGAGTAATGAACAAAAGTTGTAGGTACAAGTCATGCATTTATGGTATGCTCTTATTTATTTTTTCTTGGGCAAATTTTGTTTTACCCCTTTATGACTTGCTATAAGCCCGTAATCTTGCTATGCTTTCTGGACCAATGCACATATTGACTCGTTAATGGTGCCAACTGATGACTTTAAATAACAATACACTATATAAAGGTATATACATGTATTTATTCAACCACCCTAAGAGTCATTAACACCTTATTTGATTTTAATGATAAATCAGTCTCCCACCATATGTTTTGAATATGTGCAGGTGCAGCATTAATACAACCCAATCAAATCATCAAAACCATTACTACTGATTTCCATCAATGTCAATTAACACCCATCCACACTCTTAACCAGAAAGGAGAAATAGGGAAAATCACCAAAATAGTATTTTCTCTGTCCAAACCGCCATGTGTTTTAGGTTTGGAGTAATTGAGGGCAGTTAATTCTTGTCATCATTTGTGCCTATTCTATTTTGGTCCACGACATCCACCCCCACGAAAAAAAAAAAAAGGTCCAAAAGACACTATCATATAATAGATCCCATGTTTTTGTTAACAGATTTGATATATGCGAGAATTCCTATTAAGAGAGAGATATGTTTCCTTAAGAATGGATTCATTTATACACGTGTGAGTAAATGGTGGTGGTGAGTGGGTTGAAAGGACAGTTAGTGGTGGTGATTATGGTCATGTTGTGGTTATAGGTAAATGTGGTGTTAATGGAGGTGGCTGTGATTGGTGCTGCTAGTAAATATGGTTGTTTAGTGATGATGATGGAGGTGGTAGCATGGTTCAAAGTATCAGCCGAGACAGACACGACTCAACACCTTTAGATCCGATATTGTTCTACATTTCATGTTAACTATGATTCTCATATGACTTGGTCGAGTCGTTCGAGACGCCTTTCAGACTTTCAGTTAATTCCAAGTCGTCTGAGACACCATAAACGAATTAACCAATACGGCAATACCGTTATGTAATGCTGCAATATGACATGAATCTCTCATTATATTCAACTTTCTCTATGCTAGCATTTCATGTCCATTGCTTGATACCAATCAGCAGTGCCGCAATGGATGCATCTTAGTGCCTTTCGAGTCATCTACTGCGACCTTGAACAATGTGATAACAAGCGACGATGGTGATGGGTTATGGTTTTTGTAGACTAATAACAAAGAGAGAAGATAAGAGATAGAGACTCTCACTTGTTTTGGTTTTGGGTTGTTTTGGATGTGTAATTTGGGTTAGATGACTGGTTGGAGGGGGGGGAAGAGCACGTTACAACTTGTGCTGATCCATTGGTGAAGACGTCCAGAGAGGGGTTGGATTTGTTGGAGGCATTCAAGGTTTCCATGAGGAGGTTGACATAAAATATCAGCCCACGAGTCACGTGTATCTCATCTCATGCATAGTCAACTAAGATGGTGAATGTAACATTTACATATCGGTCTATAACCATGTGAGAGTAATGTACTTATATTTGAACGATGAGGGGGTTATGTGCAATAGAGACAAACCATAAGAAAGTAAAATAAATTTTATTCTTTTTTCTTAAATTATTTATATAAGTTGTGCATGTTAGATATTTGTTCTGAGTTATCAATATCATGTAGGACAATCAAATTTTGGAGTGATTGAGATAAACTGGGATTCAACTCCTGTGACTTTGAAATTTGAAGTGAGGGATGTAAGCGGATTGCCTGTTGCTAGTGTGAATGTCTCGCTATTGGAACTTCAAGGCCAAATGGTAGACCCTAAATCTGCCAAGAAAGCAAGAGGATATGAAAAACACTGCTCTCTTGAACTTAATCTACCAGGGATTGTCCGATATCGGTTGGCTATCTTGTTCTTTTCTGCTTTAGCTGGTATGTTATCTCAGATATTTGCAGCATTGTTTTCTGTATGCATTCTGATTATGATACTAACATCTTGAAAGTTATTTTCTTGTTGAAAAATTTTGATTGCCTCGTGAACTGGGAGATGCTGATATATATTGGAATTGCATTACAGATAATACACTTTTATGACATCTTGAGGTCACTCTTTGCCGTAGTGTGAATATCAAATAGCCTATTATCGGGATGATTATCTAATATGCTTACTTTTCTTCATAAGATTCTTCATCGTCTTGTTATTGGTACAGCTGTCTTTCGTGTATTGCATTTTGTAATCTAGTTTAGATTTTCATGCCTATGCATATAAATACCGCATATTTGTTGGCCACATTTTCAAATTGCAACCTGAAAATCTCCTCTTGCCACACCCTCACCCCTCTGCTGGCATGCACAATTATGAAAGCCAAATTGTAGCAGACAAAAATTTAGAACCCAAATCCAAATATAAGCAAACATGCTAACGTACAGGACTCTAACTCAGAGCCCCCCTTTGAGATAGTTGCTTTTTGTGTGCTTCTAACGAATTTTTTGCCACAAGATTTGGTGGCGATTTAGTTTCTTGTATCTACCATGTAGGTTTATTTGTAGCACAATCTGATGATTCTGCGCTGGATCTAATAGAAAATATTCACATCACTGAAGCCTTGCATTGATTTTGTGTTGTACTAGGTCTCTTTTCCTATTGGTATTCCTGATTGTTCTGCTTTCCATTTATTGTGGCAGTGTTGCTTCTCGGATTGCTAGGACTCGTGTATGCAGTTATGTCAGTTTGCAGGCAGCATCTCCGCAAACGCAAGCTTGATTGACATAGTCAGCTGCTAACTTTTACGGTTGAAAGCAAGCCTTTCACCATTGTGGAAGCAGGTCCTGGTCAATTCCAATGTGTAGCTGGGTCACACTGAGGTCTTGTAAATTTATGTGTTATTTCTGCATTGGCAGTTTCGCAAGTTGCGGAGAACTATATTACCCTTTTTGTCGAAGTAACGAGGAGAAACGTCTCTTCTTTTTTATTTTCAACTTTTTTATTTGGAAGCAGGATGTAGATTAAATTGTAATTAATTGTACACAACTGGAAGTATTAATTCTAATCATTTATTGCTACAAAATTACTTTTCAATTTATACTTGATGCAAATTCAATTGTCTCATGGATTTACCATTGATTTACCATAGAGCAAATTCCAATTTATCCCCTTGTGGTTTGTTCCTTGAGGAGATGACCTCCTTATGCTTTGGAAATAAGCACATCACTCCCCTGTGCTTATGGGTTAAATTGCACAGCTCACTCCGTTATCAGTGATTATAAAAGTACTTTAATACCTGCAAATATAAATATCGTTTACCCACTAATCTCAGCCATTCAGTTGAACGCACAAAGTCTAACTTACAAAATAGGAGAAATATTAAGGAAAAAAACTAGAGTTTGATTTAGGGCTTTGATTTTCTTATGAATCGAAGTTAGGGCTTTGATTTCTTCATGATTTGAAGTTGGGGCTTTAATTTCTTGATGATTTGAAGTTAGGGTTTCAATTTACCAATTAAGGGAGGATATAGGGTTTTGATTTGAACAGGTAGAAGAATCAGGGCCAAAAATAATGTTAGCTTATTTTTAGTTTTTCTTATATACTAAGTTATACATCGAGTTATGTGTGTGAAGATTTGTATCACTTTTTCATTTTTGTGGCATAGATTTGTTATTTATTGGCTTAGTGATCCAAACACTAAGGATTTGTTTAATCCCGCAAACATAATACAATCTTCACTTCAATGGTTTCTCAAAATCAATCACTTTGATCATCGCTTTACGCCCACACCCACATATTTGGATACTGAACCTCAAATCCATAGGCTCCCCTCCTTTTGAGTTGCTTGAGTATGACATCCAATTCTAACAAAACATTATTATGAAATTGTTACACACATTTTAAATGAAAATAATTAGAATAAGAAAGGTATAATCTATATCATATTACTCAAAAAACATACTTAAATAAATTACCTTTTTTATGATAGCTTTTTTCCTCTAGCTCTAGAAAGCAGCAAGTCCAGCGCCGGACAACAACTTCTGAAGGAAATGAAAACCTAAAGCTTAGAAATGAAAACCTTAAGCTTTTAACATAGCCTAAGACGGTCATTTTTGACATTTGGCTATATTTATTTTGGAGGAAACTTGATTACTTCGTTGACCAATCACCAAAGCAGCACGTCCTCACCACTTCCATCTATTCTGACAAAAAACCTAACAATTGCAATTTAGCCCATAACCGCAGGAGGGTGATGTGCTTATTTCCAAAGTATAGGGGGTCATCTGCTCAAGGCACAAACTTAAGAGGGGGGGGGGGTAAAGTGGAATTTGCCCATTACCATATTAGTAATGCATTGGTTGCTTGGCCTCCACAATCTTCTGTTATCTCTACTGGGAACACGGTTCTTTGTAGTGTGGCAGGTGTCACTAGGGTTAACTCAGTCTCAACCAAACCACTCGAGAAATTCACAGAGACAATAAATTAAACAGAAAACAGACACACTTGATTACAGGACAATATCCTAACCTTTTCACTTTCTCCAACACAAAGTACAAAGGAGTCCGACAAAAGGTCTGTTACAAAACGTCACCCTTCCCTCTTGGGTGACTGCAGCCCCTAGCAACCCTATTTAAAGGTTACAATGGTAATTACAACCGAACTGCCTAAGCATCAAAGGATAATGAATCATGTTCCACCATGCTTCATTAAGCATAGAAAACTCTCAGACCAACATTACTGTCATATTTAGCTACTCAGTTCAACCCGTCTCCCTTTACATTACTATCTAAAGGTATTAATATCATTCTTCTAACTAATGTGTTCTATTAAATGCTACAAACAAATGATAAAATTTTCAACAACTGACACCTACACTTGGCTAACAATGATCGATACTCTAATATCATAGTGTAATTTGAAATCAACTACAGGAAAACTGGAGACAATTTACAGAAATGGGGTCTAAAAGATTCCCAAGTGTTCCAGCTCATTTTACACCCGAGGAAATCACACAATCGAACTACCACCCCTCATATCTTCTTAGTTGGGCTGCCTTAGCATAAATGACGGTCCAAAACCTTTTGCAAAGCTTTCCAATATCTTGAACAAGAAGGGTTCAAATGGATTGCACGAAGCATCCAGCTCATCGAACTCTGACAGGACTCCACATCAGATAAAGAGTCAGAAGCACCAATAGAGCGTCTAGAAAGCAAATGCATTTGAAAAAAGAGTTCAGCAGGCCTCATCTCTGCAAGAGACATAACCGATGTCAAAAAATGATTCACCAACCTCAATATAAATTTTTAAATTTTTATCTGTGAGGCATTCCGAGGTTGATCCCCTTCATTGGACCAGACAGTCCCATAAATGGGGAGATCATTAACTCACAAAGGCAAATTTTTTTAACCTTGCCACCATTGACCATCTCTTGGCTGTAAGCAGATCTGCCCATAGCTTAGCCCATCAACCAGTTTTTGTTCAAAAACTAAACCAGAAGATTACAGTATAAAAGGCCTGACCCCTTAGACCAGAATATCCAAACTCCTGCCACTGATGTTTTGAAAATCCTTGGAAAATTGGCCATCAACTCAAGCAGGTAGCAGGCCAATTCCCAGACCACAAAGGCTAAACCATCGAAGGCAATAATGTTTATGGGTCATGATTCTTTCCTAATCGGGGATCAGTTAGCTAAGGCATAATGTTGCTCACTAAAAGCAAACACCCGCACAGCCTCATGGGTTAGAAAAGAACCAAACCTGATGGCCAAGAAAACCATTCAACACGAAGTTCTTCCTCCCACTTTGATTGTGAGCCAAGGCTTGCTTCTGCTTGTGCCAACAACATGGAGACATAAGGTAAGGGAACAATAGAAGTCTTCTTAGCTTTCTTGAGGCTTCTGACAGCAAGCGATAAGAAGTGTGAATCACACTGCTCCCTGGCAAGCTCCATACAGATGGCACCTGGATCAATCAAAGGCTTTACTACTCAGTTATATGCCTATAATTATAAATCCGCACAAGGGAAAAGAAGAATAAACATGCACACTCATTTCTTCTTTTTCTCCCAATAGAAACCATCCAGCGTTGTTTGTGAACTGATTTTTCCAAAAAAAAAAACTACTCAACTAGGGCTCAGATTAGTTCAAGTCTCTTGGATCTTGAAAAGGACAAGGAAAAAAAAGAATGTTAGCATGCTGAAAAAATAGTCCTTTCTATAGATATTTCTAAAAGAACATAACTATTTTTTATAGAAAACCTTTCATTTTCAAAAGCATCTTGAAATGTTTCTTTGCTCTCTCATTCTTCCAATAACCAGAAGTTTTCCTAAAATTGAAAGAAATTATTAAGAACCAAAGTGCCCATTAAGACTGAGAAGGTTGCAAAATCATTTAGCAGACACCTACCATGACAAAGAAAGAGGCAGCTCTCAGTAGTGACTAAAGAACAAGCTTTCGCAAGAAACTCTTCTGCGCTGTGAAAATCCTGGGACCAAACAGCAATCAGACCCTGCACCAAGCTATATACAGCCATCCACATATTCCGCGAAATCTTGATCACTTTGGAGCACTCCTCAAAGCTCAATGCCAATAAAGTGGAATCGGTCTGCAGCTTGTTTCGAGATTCAATGAATTTAAGACATATCCAGCCAATATGATAATCAGTTTTGAGCTCCAGACATCTTATATACTCTTGGCGCAGACTAATGAAATTAGCTTCTGCAGCATAGGCACGACACAATTGCAAGTGCGCAAAAAAGAGATAGTCATTTGGAAGTGAAAGTCCTGAAGCAGTTTTAGCCTGCTTGATAGAGCCAATGTGGTCCCCAACTTGCAAACTGATCTCAGAAGCACAAAGTAAAATCTGGAACTTTTGATATTGATAAGACATGTCTTTCTTAGAGAATAATTCATTGGAAACAGCCACACTAATTAACCGCTCAAGTACAACACAAAGATGTTGAGGATATCTCTCCTCCCGTGCTTTCTGCAGGTAACTAAGTATGAGCAAATACCTTGCATTATGATTCCATGGTTCTTGATGTAACCATCTGTAATAGGGAGTTCCAACTTAATTTAGTAAATGAATGTGAGACAACAGAGACATTATTCATAAGGCTTAGCAGTGAAGCTTTTCGAAAAGTTTACCATATAAACATGATAAAAGCAAAAAGCTTTTAGGAAAAGTCAAAGAAGCTATGCAAATTTGTTGACTGAACTTTAATGTGCACAGAATGGTGGACCATGAATATCAGGCGAACCACAAAGGCTTAGTGCCAGATGCAAAATATGTACATAGTACAGAAATAACTGAAAAAAAGAAGGCATGGAGAAGTAGAGTATAGTACTTCTGCAGTTGTTGAATTGCTCCCAATCTGCNTTTTCCAAAAAAAAAAACTACTCAACTAGGGCTCAGATTAGTTCAAGTCTCTTGGATCTTGAAAAGGACAAGGAAAAAAAAGAATGTTAGCATGCTGAAAAAATAGTCCTTTCTATAGATATTTCTAAAAGAACATAACTATTTTTTATAGAAAACCTTTCATTTTCAAAAGCATCTTGAAATGTTTCTTTGCTCTCTCATTCTTCCAATAACCAGAAGTTTTCCTAAAATTGAAAGAAATTATTAAGAACCAAAGTGCCCATTAAGACTGAGAAGGTTGCAAAATCATTTAGCAGACACCTACCATGACAAAGAAAGAGGCAGCTCTCAGTAGTGACTAAAGAACAAGCTTTCGCAAGAAACTCTTCTGCGCTGTGAAAATCCTGGGACCAAACAGCAATCAGACCCTGCACCAAGCTATATACAGCCATCCACATATTCCGCGAAATCTTGATCACTTTGGAGCACTCCTCAAAGCTCAATGCCAATAAAGTGGAATCGGTCTGCAGCTTGTTTCGAGATTCAATGAATTTAAGACATATCCAGCCAATATGATAATCAGTTTTGAGCTCCAGACATCTTATATACTCTTGGCGCAGACTAATGAAATTAGCTTCTGCAGCATAGGCACGACACAATTGCAAGTGCGCAAAAAAGAGATAGTCATTTGGAAGTGAAAGTCCTGAAGCAGTTTTAGCCTGCTTGATAGAGCCAATGTGGTCCCCAACTTGCAAACTGATCTCAGAAGCACAAAGTAAAATCTGGAACTTTTGATATTGATAAGACATGTCTTTCTTAGAGAATAATTCATTGGAAACAGCCACACTAATTAACCGCTCAAGTACAACACAAAGATGTTGAGGATATCTCTCCTCCCGTGCTTTCTGCAGGTAACTAAGTATGAGCAAATACCTTGCATTATGATTCCATGGTTCTTGATGTAACCATCTGTAATAGGGAGTTCCAACTTAATTTAGTAAATGAATGTGAGACAACAGAGACATTATTCATAAGGCTTAGCAGTGAAGCTTTTCGAAAAGTTTACCATATAAACATGATAAAAGCAAAAAGCTTTTAGGAAAAGTCAAAGAAGCTATGCAAATTTGTTGACTGAACTTTAATGTGCACAGAATGGTGGACCATGAATATCAGGCGAACCACAAAGGCTTAGTGCCAGATGCAAAATATGTACATAGTACAGAAATAACTGAAAAAAAGAAGGCATGGAGAAGTAGAGTATAGTACTTCTGCAGTTGTTGAATTGCTCCCAATCTGCATGGCCACTGGTAACTACATGTTGTGAAAGAAAATGTCTCACAGTTCCCAGTGGTGTAGCAAGCAACTGCTCTGGCACCAAGGATCTCATAACCAGATTTCAAGCCCTCTTCCTTCGGACAATCAGATGACCCTAAGCTGAAGCACCTAGTTGCAATGTGAGTATCTTTCGATTCTTTACTGGATAGCAAAAGGTAACCAAGGAGATTCCTGTTACCAAGCATATTTACATGAGAAAGACATCATAAGACCTATACGAGGTGTCCGTACTTGCCCTGGTGACAATAATGCAATGATTAAGAACAGTATCAATAACGTTCCAGGAAGTATGTATCCATGCATCAACAACATGGATGTATTATACCCAGAAGCAAAAAATGAATGAGCACAGCCGCAATGAAAATTTGGATTGACAAGATGAGATGAGTTTGACCAAAAAAGTTTAGTTACTTGTCAGGGAGAAAGGTAGTGGGAAGACATGGAGGCATAATGCAACACAAAAGCATGGCCCTAATTTGTAATTACTGAGAATCCCAAATTTCTTTCACATTACCAAACCATAATTTTTAATCAAAGTGCTGAAAATTTCAAAGATCTTCACATAAAGGAGAGCACAATGCTCATCCCAAAAATCATGTAGGATTTTTATAAAAGGAAAAAATAGCAAAGAACTGAAGAAGAGCCCATCAGTCCATATGTCATGTACTAATGTTAGAATTTACTTGACTCCTCATTTTTAGTTCGCTCTATAATCACCCTATATTTCTTGTTATTCTTCACTTGTGTAAATAATTTTAAATGTATTAAGAAAATCTATGCATCAATTTTGAAGCTTTGATGCTCAAATGCCCACCTTTTCATGAGTTAAGGCACCATAGATAAGGTAGATCCACTCTATGCTAATTTTTTCTTGAACATCAGTATATTGTATCTAGATTCATACTTCTACCACCATTTTCTTCTTCTTTTGTTAAGAAACAGAAGGCAACTATGTTCCAGCCAGGACTGGAACCCTGCACCTTACCTTGTGGGGGTGGCAGTCTGGCAGGAGATAACAGTAAAGCCAAGATCTATTACAATGAATCTTTTTGTAAACAAGCACCCAGACCAACCTAGCCAAGATCTTAACCGCTTACACCCACCATAGCTCACACAAAGGGCCCAACATTTGGAGGTGCGGAGGAGCCAATTCACTACTAAGAAAATTTGTATTTACTATTATTCTTACACTTGTACGGGATACAGGGTTTAACTTTAAGTTCAGTAAAAATGTAGTGCTCACAACACAAAGTCTACTTGTCACTGTCCTTAATTACGGATTACGAACAAATGTTTAACTAGATCATATCTGCACTAGTTTTAGTGTTTGGAACTCCTCTAAGATAAGAATAGGGATTAGTGACTGAGATTGTTGCTTGTCAAGATCAAAATTCTAAAACTTTTTAGGCTATTAGATTTCTGGCAAGCTGTATTAATTTAACTAGTGATCGCAGCGAAGGCTAGGGAATTATGAGAAAGAACCTTAACCTATCTAACTAATGCATAGCATAACATTTAGTCATTTGTGGATGCACAAATTATCTCCCATGAACAACTGTGACAAGACATAAATAAATAAATACAAATCAGGCATACCTTAACAAAACACTGTTAGGGAACATGTGAAGTGCTTTTCTCAGGTGATTTACTCCATCCTGAATCCCAAGCCAGTCTTTAGATCCATGTTTTACCTGCAAAACCCAAGAAAGCAGACTGCATGCTGATAGCCTATCCAAAATTATGTTAACGGCAAACATAACCTCCAACCCAAGTGCACAATGCATAAATTGACAATTGGCATCAGAAACTTACTAATTTTCCAATTGCTATCAAGAAGTGCATTCCAGTACTATTCCCATGTGATGCAAGAGAGCTATGACTGCTTGACATAAGCGACTCAAGCCGATCACTTTGATCTAGTGCATGAATGGCTAATGCAACAAAACCGATTTTTGGACTCTGGTATAATTCCTTGGCCATTTTTAGAATGTTACTAATTGCTGATTCCTGTCCAGAAACGTAGTACACCAATCTTAATATGAAAGTTATGCAGGACATTGCAGATGTTCGTTCCGTGGACAAAACACTTTCAGCAAGAATTCTTGTTACGGAAAGAGCCATATCATTTTTTCCAAGTTGCCACAAAGATAGAGCATATATCTGCAAACCTTTGGAATCAAGCAGACCTAGAACATTAAGATGCAGACAAGTATGTAAGCAAAATAAGAAATTCTAAGATGCAACATAAAAACATAAAGGTTATTTGGCAGTTATAAACATGTAAAGTTTAATGAATCCACATAGGTTAAAAAATGAGATCCACCAGTTCAACCTGAAAGGCTTTCTTATGACTTTATCAAATCAGTTAGAAATTAATAACAAGGAAATTTTTTAGCAATGTCATTAAATGAATGCATCAAAACTATGCTTAACAAAGCGCCCCCAGACTTCACAACTTAACAACACCTCCATGTCTTTTCTTTCTTTTCTCCGATTTTAATGATCTGAGTGAACATTACCAAAATACAGGAGATCCGACATAGTGCCGAAAGAAATTCAGCAAATGGATATTCAGTTATTCACTTCATTTCATTAACAAAAGAGCTTTTTAACTCCTCAACAAGTAAGAATGAAAAATAAGGATGCAATGAAGTATGTGAACTATCAAAATTATAGTCATGATCTGAACCTTCTTCCTTCAAATTTTCACATTCTTGCACAGCATCGAGAGACTTTCCTGCCTGCACAAAGCAGAAACATTTCCTCAAAGGCGTTAGTGGGGAATTGATCAACTCACATATGGTAGGAGTTATGCATGGGAGGAAGAGATGATGACAGAAATACGCATTTCCAAACATCAGCTGGGGAAAACTATGTCAGATATATTTACCATACAAAGAGATCTGGCCAAATTAATCGATACATCTCTCAGATAGGAGTTTGATTCTTTGCCTGAAAAAGAGCTAATTGCACAGCGTGCTAGCCTATAAGAGGCAACAGCAGAAAGATAATCAAATCGTGCCTCAAACACCAGCCCATTCAAATTGTGAGTTTCAGGATAGTGGGGTGCACGCTGCAAAGATTGCCTGACAGCTCCAAATACCTGTGACAGTAATGATCTGCAGCATCAGATCTATATTTTCCGTGGCATACCGCTGTATATTTCTTAGCTTGTCTTTCAGTAAAACAACATATATGTAGCATTAATTACAAATACTCACTCCTTGCTAGTCTTATATTAATATCCTACTCAGTACCTGTGAAGATGAAAGATGACCAGAAAGGAGAGCAAGCTTTGCAAGACCAATTTGGAATTCTGCAAGCTGACCAGATATGGAAGTTACGTGTAATCCGGAAGATAATGGGAGGTGCCTCACTCCTAATGCTAAAAATAACCAGATTTACACTTTTTAAACCCCATAAAAGCATGTAAGAGAGATTACTGGAAGTATCTGTACAGCCCGTAAACAGCATTCGTATGCGTCGTCTGGCGTGAGCACCCTGCATAAAGCACCAGATCCAGATATATGTTTCTATGTCAAAATGCTGAAATGAATCATTTATCTTATTTTCCCATAAAGATAAGAACATACCTAGCACAAGTATCAGCAGACATGCCTGCCCACGGTAATGCGAGTGAAGGATCTATACTTCTTGCGCGATCAAATGCTTGCTGGGCCAATTTAATTTTACCCCCTTTCCTATAAAGCTGTAAAGGTCCAGTATTTAGACACCTCCGGGAAAAATTGTCAGAAATTTCTTGACACCATCAGGACACTATTGCTATCTCATGGACATTTTGAAACTGCAAATGAACTATAGAGGAAATCAAATTCTTTTGCATGGCAACATTGTTGTTGAACCCATCTAAATCAAGCCAAATGAGCAGCGCCCATAGGGTGCTTAGTTGGACTGTTTAGCATTTGTAGCCTAAAAGGTTTCATGGGGTAAAGTCACTCCGGTAACATTAAAACTAGGCCATCTCAGGTTCAGCAAAAAACATAAACTTGGGGTCCAAGAATGAATTTTAAATGATGCGGTTGTGGTGAATGTTGATATGAAAAAGGATATAATATAGGCACTCTTTTAAGTTTAAAATCGCACTTCTGGATTTCACCCTTAGCAAGATGACAATCATGGCAAAATAATAGCTTGAGGCCCAGAAGACACAAATGTTGTGCCTTAAGCTTTCTCCTATATAACACCAAGCTTTAAGCCGTCATCAAGAGAACTAAAAGATTGGCATAATGCTCAATGGAGCTTTTTTTTTTTGGCAGGGACATTTAAAACAGGACAAAGCCACTTCACCATATCTGGAAGCTAAGCAAAACTAGACTGCTAATAATCAATTAGCATTGTCACAGCTGTCAATTCTACCATGTTTTTAAAGTTCCTTTTTTCTCATGATATCCTTTATCATATAGGATTCTTGGATTACTTGGAAAAAACAAAAAAAGAAATATCCGGGAAATGAAGCAAATGGAAACCAATTGATGAATAAAGTCTATACAGAGAAAATTTTTACCATTGTTACACTGATTAGTCATGCCACCTGTGTAGGCCAACCCCTGTAGTGTCAAGGTACTGAACTCCTTTCATATTTAATTCAAGATGAACAAACAGTCATTGCAGAAAGTCAACTGTGTTCTGTAAGGATGGATCATAATAATTGGAACGCGTCACTGGAAGTTAGGTGCTAACACTAACTCCAAGTTCATGAAAATACTACCCATAAGCATGACACATGTGATAAGACACTTCAAACATGTGCCCACGTATGGACATAATTGGAATTTTTCATTGCATAGAATACATCCAGTACAAACTCAACTTGCCAGGCTGCCACCACTTAAAGCACACAACCCAATTTTGGGGCCAGCCAAGCAAAATTTCAACTGTGATCCTTTTGTTTTTCAATTTTCTATGTGGGTAAAAATGGTGCCGCTAAAGTTCTGTGACTGAGCTAATTAGGGAGTGAGACAGAAAACATTGTCTGTCTTCATAAAACTGGCCTGTTCTATTCTCCAGCAGGCTTTAAATTATAACTTCAAAAGAAAAGAAGTTCACATTTGCTCTTCTTTTTAAAAACTTCCAAAAAATGAAGTTTAATATTTGAAGGGATTGACATAGAACATTACCGTCCCAAGGTATGCCCATGCAACAGCTAGAGATACATCCAATTGCAATCCGCGTATCAAAGCATGTTGTTTCAAGGCAGTGTAACTAGATAAGCATCCCAGAGCCACCCAGAACTCATTATTGTCACCCTCAAGTAGTAAGCCCCCGATGGCCATCTTCTCAGGTAGCTGCCTGGTGGATAAGAGAATAACTAAAATAGTCCTATTTAATAGCAGACAATTCAATAAGGGCAGAATCAATGGAAAATTTACCAGCAATTCATCTCCTGTTTACAACTCTCCTTCAAAGAATAAATAAGATCTGAAGTGATAGCAATGTCTACATAGATATTTGCTTCCCATGGTGCCAAGTGCAAAGCCTTCTGATAGAAATGACTGGCAGATAATGCAGCTAAAGTGCAAGTCCTTTTCCAGGAAAGGATGGAAGCATTGAAAGCTTTCTCATCATTTTCTAAGATCAGGCCTTCCTCCATCCATGGAAAGCATTTTGCATATGTAAGCTAACAAGGAGGAGAAAACCCCTTATTTTAGACCAGCAACGTCACAAACATCATTTTATACTTAACAAAGAGCCTCTTATGAAAACCAGTAAATATATTTACATAAAAAGAACCGAAGAAATGGAAGGTAAAACACAGGTGAACTAAGCATTGCTTAAGATGGGAAAGGAACTGAATAGCAATCAATCCCATATGACAATCAAGGATCAAACTTTCATTTTGCTGCATAGTTGTGGTTAGCTCAAAAACCGAAACATTGCTGAAATGATTCGGAAACATAGAAAAATTAGAATTTTGATTCTGAAACATTCCAAAACATTGTCCAAAAAATCGCAAAACATTTTGAAACATGGGAATTTCAATTTTCTATCATTGATTCGTTTCGGTTCCCACCAAAACCCAAAAGAAATTTGATTCTTAGAGACAAAGTTAAAAAAAAAATACCCTTCAGATGACTGTACCTGTATATCTCCACACAACTTCCACATAGATGAAAGATTGCAAGCAAAGCAGGTACTTGTTTTTGCAACCTCAGAAGCCTCCTACAATTGTATAGATACTTGAACAAAATCTTGTCTGTGGCCATTGTGAGAACAGATGAGGCAATATCATTCTAGGAGTTGCAGTGCTCACCTCTAACAGTGAAGCTCCCCATCTGAATGCACCTGAATTAATGCATTCCTTCGACAAACTGAGCAGCCCAAAAGCAAGCCCATAGTGTGCAGCTACATTTTGAGGTGAGATATGTAAAGCTTGCTGAAACTGCTCAATTCCCTTCATGAAGAACATAACAAATAACATGAGATGCATATGACATAAGCATTGGAACAGCATGGAAGATTACCAATGGTACTTTTAAGTGTAATTAAGAAATACATATAAATTAGCAAGCACCACAACAGCATCTTTTCTTCTCGGTGGATTTAATCTTGAAAATCTTCCCACACTGTGCTGACCACAACAAGTGCTATTCAAAGGTGCAGGTTGTCCAACCAAATGCTTCCCAACAATTAAACTTGAGTGTGAGCTCGTTTTTTCCTGATTCCTCCCTTGTTGGCAACTCATTTTTTTCTTTTTTGACATTAAACAAAAATATTTCAAGAACAAGAGCAAAGAAGGGTGGAGGAATTATGAAGGCCTATTAAAGAAGTAATAAGCACATAAACGGCCACGCACACCCCCACACATAGACACACGCATCCCCTCTCTCTCTCTCTCTCTCTCTCTCTCTCTCTCTATATATATATATATATATATATATATATATATA